CAATGTTCAAGGGGATGACAATATTTTAATGTCTTGATGAATTAGTTAAATGGTATTATAGGGCCACAACATACGACTGATCTAAGACTGCTGAGAAGAAGAACTACAATCACACCTGTTTATCATCATCGTATAGTACCACGTCTGCCTCAAAATAATAGCTATCAAAAGCCCTATTACTGAGTTTGTTGCGTTGTCCTAACGCTAGCCCTATTCTAAATATAAAAGTTTTAAAAAAAAATACTCTTTTCTACCCCTTTAGGAGTATTGGGTATATAGGGCTAGGCCTATAGTTTATAGACCAAACGGCACTTGGTGGGTGACGTGGTCAGCATCACGCCGTGCTGCCTTTACCTCCTAAGACTGTACCTGGTACTCACTCCAGGCTGGATCGAGCAAAGGTCATTTTTGATTTAAAAAATCCGGCCCCTGTCATGATCTAAACCCACGACCTTCCGATCCGCAGGCGAGAATCTACCCGCTAGATCACGGCGGCTCCCATCCTAAATATAAGCCGCAGATCTTCATGCTTGTTTAGTTGATTATAGCAAGGCATTTGATTGTGTCCAACATCAGAAACTATGAACTATTATGAGAAGTATGGGATTTTTAGCACATTTAGTGCATTTAATAGAAAATCTTTACCATGAACAACAAGCAGCTGTCAGAGCAGCTGGTGGAAGTTCGCACTGGTTCGAGGTGCAAAACGGAGTGAGGCAGGGGTGCATTCTCTCACCCTACTTTTTCAATATATACACAGAAAATATAATGAGAAATGTCCAAAATGACCAGACTTGTGACAGTTATGATTCGCTTAAAATTTATGGCAACCCTATCATGGAACTCCACAACGCAGATGAAACAGTCCTCCTTTCGAAAGGCAAATGGAATATAACATTTAATTTTGTCTGTTTAAAAGCACAGGGAAGATCAAAATCTGTTATTGAATATAAAGAAAACGAAAATAATGTCCTCTGGTAAAACTGGCTGTCCTACAAAAATAAAAATAAATGACCAAGAAATTGAAAATGTCACAAACTTTGAATATCGGCTCTATAATAAACAGTGATGGAGACTGTTTGGCAAAAATTAAAAGGAGGATGGCCATAGCAATGCAAAGATTGAACAGTCTTACAAGTCAAGAATATCAAAATTATAATTTTGAGAGCATGTATCTTCCCTGTGGCAACATACGGATGTGAGTCGTAGACTATCTCCCAGTCATTAACAAAGAGAATAGGGGCTTTTGAGCTGAAATGCTTTAGAAAGATTCTCAGAATGTCTTGGACAAAGAAGAGGAGAAATACTGACATCCTAAAAGATCTGAACATCAAGGAAGATTGGCTAATAAACAGCATCCTGTCCCGGAAGCTGCAATATTTTGGTCATATCAAGCGCCACGACGGATTGGAAAAAATTATAGCAGAAGGCATGGTACCAGGAAGGAGGGGCAGGGACCGACCGACACGAAGATGGGCACGGGATATAAGTGACTCCTTGAGTATGAAAGTACAGAGAGCTGGCCAGAGACCGAGTTTTTTTCTGGCAGACCACGATGAGACCGACGTCTATGCAAAGGAACTGCTACATGATGATGTTGATGAGTTAAACTGGTCTGGCTCGTGGGCTTTTCTGGTTCGTAATGTGAAATTTACGGCGGATGTGCTGCATTTTCAAGTATTGAATATGTAAATTTGAAAAAAAAAAATGATATTACTGATCTTTATAAATGATAATAAAGTATTTATACATTGAAAATATACACAGATTAAATATTTTGACAACAATTCTCTAAAATAAAATAAAAAGTTCTAAGGCGTCTTTTGGAATTCACGTTAATATGAGACCAGCTCTTACTTTCAGGGAAAGATAATATATCTCTTCCATGTCAGCAGTTTGTAATGATTATTCTCAAGGATCAGTCAGGTTTTAAAAGTATGTCATGTATGGTCATGTTTTAAAAGTTGTTCATAGACATGTCTACATTCTTTGCTCACACAAAGCCTTTTGCACAAACAGGTACACTTTCTTGGCTGATATAAAGCCTTTATACATTCTACTTTTTTTGGCACACATAAAGGCTTTTTCATAAAAATATCTAGTTTCTTGGCTAACATAAAGCAAATTTTTAAAATATAAATGGCTACTTTTTATGTGTGCCTCAAATAAAGCCTTTTTTCCTTAAACATGTCTACTTTCTTGGCTCAGATTAAACGCGCGAACTCTTTTATAAACCTCTTTCCCATTATCCTGTCTTTTTTAAAGTATGAATACTTTTATGTAAATCGTTGTTCTTTCCCTCAATTTCTTGTCCTGCAATACCAATTCACACTTCTCTTGCTACAATTGTACACATGCAAAGGGCCACAGGAAAGCGTTTTCAGTGTTTTAATTTTTTTTTTTCAAGTATTTATCCTAACAGGAATTATGTTCATGATGTTTTTTCCCCCACCTATACACTAGTTAATGTTCAGAGTTCTTGATAACTCCTCACGCAGTATTATATGTTGGTGGTTCTGTATATACACTTATACAATAGTTTGTGTTCACAGTCCCCCTCTTTTTAATTATTATCTGTACAGTATTCCATGTCTATGGTGCTTCAAAGTCTATCACTCATTCAGTAGTTCATATTCCCAGTTCTCTATATCTCAAATACAGTAACCTATAATTTTATGTATCTTAAATACAACAGTTCCTGTTCACAGCACTTTATATTCATTATCCATTAGTTTGTAGTTCATTATAATTCACTTATACAATAATGCATGTTCAAGATTCTTTATAAACATTTCTGAAATATTTCATGTTCACTGTCCTTTATTACAGTACTTGTTCACTTGTCAGTAGAATAATTCACATAATAGTTCGTGTTCTCAGTTGTGTTTTACAATATAAAGTATAGATTCAGGTTCATAATTCTGTAGCATGATTCACACAATAGTTCATTTTCACAGTTCTCTATAATTATTCACACAATAGTTTATGTTCACATTTTAGTTTCAACATTCACTGTAAAGTTAGTGTTCACAATTCAGTAAAGTCATTCACACTATAGTTCATGTTCACATTTCAGTATCATCATTCACAATAAGTTCATGTACGAAATTAGGTATAATCAGTCACCAGTAGTTCATGTTCTCATTTCCATATCATCCTTCATAAAATGGTTCATGCTCATAATTCAGTATAGTTATTCATACAACAGTTCGTCTTCACAGTTTAGTAGCATCATTCATACAACAGTTCGTCTTCATAGTTTAGTAGCATCATTCATACAACAGTTCGTCTTCACAGTTTAGTAGCATCATTCATACAACAGTTCGTCTTCACTGTTTAGTAGCATCATTTATACAACAGTTCGTCTTCACAGTTTAGTAGCATTATTCATACAACAGTTCGTCTTCACAGTTTAGTAGCATCATTCATACAACAGTTCGTCTTCACAGTTTAGTAGCATCATTCATACAACAGTTCGTCTCCACTGTTTAGTAGCATCATTCATACAACAGTTCGTCTTCACAGTTTAGTAGCATCATTCATACAACAGTTCGTCTTCACTGATTAGTAGCATCATTCATACAACTGTTCGTCTTCACTGTTTAGTAGCATCATTCATACAACAGTTCGTCTTCACTGTTTAGTAGCATCATTCATACAACAGTTCTTCTCCACAGTTTAGTAGCATCATTCATACAACAGTTCGTCTCCACAGTTTAGTAGCATCATTCATACAACAGCTCATTCAAATTTTTAAATCATCATTTAAATATCATTTTACATTCACATTTTTATATAATAATTCCAATAATAATTCATGTTCAAAATTCAGTAAATCATTCACATAGCTCTTAATATTAACAAATATATATACAGATATTCACATAATAATTCATCTAAAAGTGGTATACAGTAATTTATTGGTAATAGTTGTTCAAGCACATATTCATATTTTGACTCATAAATTCTGGTTATCATAGTTCTATTTATACATAATCAATTTTAAGTTATTGTATTTCCTACGTCCTTATCAGGGTTAAAACCGCATCCAGTTTCGTCCTTTTTAGGACGAAATTTTTTGTTATTTGAAGGCTCACCCTGGCTTTTGCCAGGGGCCGCAATATAGGCAGGCCATAAATATGGCCAATTGTCTGAACGCGGTTTCTGGGACCTCTCCACGGTGATCCTCATGCACATGGTGGCACTTTGTGTCATCGGGTGTTTATCGCTTGTGTGATGTCCTGGTGGGATAGAAAGTCAGTCAGTCAGTTATAGTATATCCTATACAAAAAACGTACAGGTAGGGCTAGCTCTGTTTAATCCAAGCTTAAGCATGACATTCCTCTCTTTGTCTTCTGGGACCATGTGAACTAGACGTTCTACAAGTTGTTAATTTATTTATTCTGCAAGTATATATTATAATAATATGTAAAGATTTATTTTAAACAGCTCTCTTCCTTTTTATTTTTGTTGTTGCTTCTCCAGACTGCACTTCAGAGGTTTTATCCCACCCCCCCCCCCTTTCCCATCCCCTTATTGTAAGAGAACGGTGGCCCTTTAACAGTAAAAACAGGATGCACCCTACATTTAAAAAAATTTAGGGGGGGGGGGGGAAGCGGGTGTGGTAGGGGAGGGGGGGGGTATGATGATAATTAGATGTCTAACTAGCCTTGAAGTAGGGACCAGCCATTTTTGTATCAATGAGATGAAAAGGCAGATAAGATAGACTTTTACTTTCAAAGTATTTGGTAATGAATTTGATAATATTTCAAAATTGCTATAAACTTTTTTTTTTCTACTCAGCATTAAAAAAAATTTTTTTTTTTTTTTTTTTTTTTTTTTTGCTTTTAAACATGATTTTACCCCTTGGCCCCCTTCCACTCCCATCCTTTGCCTACTAGGGCATTTGTAAGACGGAAGGGGCGGAAAAGTTAGGAGGGTGGAGGGGGAATCTGTGATTTCCCCAATGTTTTGTTCGACTCAGCGCCTCAGAAATGAAGCTATTTCCAATCAAACGTTTGGCTTACTCTCATGAAAAATCGATTGTTGAATGGCTGGAAAAAGTTCAATAACTGCTGTCTGACATCTCGCTGTAGAACTGGGTGATCGCGTCCCTTGCTGTCCGCAAGACACTGTTCTGACCACATGATGAGGTCGCTGGCTTGGTCATTGGTCTGAGGTAGCTGGTTCCGTTTCTCTAGCCGTACGCAGTAAAAACCTTTCGTCTCATTGTACACAAACCGATCCTTGCCAATTTGGTGCGATAACCCTAGAAATTCCTCCAGCTGTGGAAGGAGAACAGAAAAGAGTAGTTGTTTCCCTTTGTTGTTATATGTCCGTACAATATGAAAACGTTAGCCGCCGTGGTCTGGAGGTGTAATTTTTTTTGTTTTAAAGCCCCCACCCCTGCTAAAGTCAAGGGCCCTAACATAACCTAAAGGTTGAACGAGGTTTCTTGGACCTCTCCTCGGGTGTTCTTCATTCGCACGGCGGCACATTGTGTCACCGGGTGTTAATCGCTTGGTGGATGTCCTGGTGGAGTTAACTCTCAATCATTCATGGTGTAGATGTTAGACTCTCACCTCCGAATCGAAAGGTCATGATTCATACCCTGACGGTGCCAGACTTTGTTTTTCAAAAATGACTTCGGCTCACAGGTTGACCTAGCCTCGAGTGAGTACCTGGTAAAGTCCTGGAAGTAAAGGCAGCCGTTGTGATGTTGACTACATCATCCTTCGAGTGCGATTGGTCTTCAAAATGTAGGTCTAGCCCTATACTCCCAATACGCTTGAAAGGCATGGCAAATGTTCATTTACTTACAATATAAAAACACTACGGATCCGATCGTCGTGGGTTCAAATCCGGACGGTGCTAGACTTTTTTCAGAAATGAACCTTCCATGTCAAGCTAGCCTTAAACGGATACTAGGTAACAGTCATGGGAAGTCAAGGCCGCTGACGGGGTGCTGACCATTTCACCCACAGAGTGCCGATTAGCCCGTAAAATATAGGTCTAGCCCTATATGCCCAATGCCTCTGAAGGCATAGAAATGTGTTTTTTACAATATAAAAACGTAGAGGCCCTTGAAGTACTCGCCTCCAGGCCAGAATGTCTTGGATCCGATCCGCACCGACTCGACCCAATCTTAAATGAGCACCAGGTAATGTACTGGGAAGTAAAGGCGTCCGGCGTGAGGCTGACATCACCCACCGAGAGCCGATCGATCTGTGAAACATGTCCAGCATCACTGTAATGAGTGGGGAGAACCCATGACGATAGAAAGGGTCCCCAGGGGGAAAGATTCAAAAGTCAGCTTCTTCTTAAATTCCATGCCGTGTGGCGTTGGTAATCATGACTAACCACAACCTTCTGTTTCTTGTAGTTTCAAGCTCTGACACAGATGATTTTTCATGCCAGGATGTCTAACCACCCACTATCTGTTCTCTCGGTCTCCCTCTGCCTCTCCTCCCCTCCAGCTTTCCTACCGTCACGATGTACTCCAGTTTTATCTTTCTCATCACGTGACCAAAGAATGTAGATTGTCTCTTTCTGGTGTGGGCAATCAGTTCTCTTTGTGAAGTCAGTTCCTTTCAAGACGTCTCCATTACTCTTTTGATCTGTCAGCTGGAAGTCAACTATGGGAGATCTATCACAAGGAGACCGCTTCATGAAAAAGTATGCAAGAACGTGAGAAGAGATGTTTACGAAATAATTCTACTGTCGTCAAAGGGAATTCTGGGTGCTTTCTTTTTATGACAAATGACGTCATGAGACAGTCCAATATTTCAGAGGGTGGTGACAGCGGGTTTTTCGTGTTTTCTGTGCAAGACCAAGGTTTTCGCGCGTTAATCTACCCCTATCCCTAACCTTAACTCTAACCCTGAGCCTAACCAAGCCAAAACTAATCGCTTAATCTACCACCCCCTGAAATATTTGACTGTCCCGTGACCTGTGGATTTCCCCAGTTTGTTGTCGGTTAATGAGAAATACCGCATTCGGTGTGAGACCAGCATGAGCGACGGTTGTCTTCACGACTGAATGCTTAGAGTGGAAGGACGGTTGTGTTAGCAAACATCTGATCAATAATTAACGTTTACAAACATAATGGCGCAATGTTGAGCAAAGTTTGCGGTGTATTTTCGAGAAATTGTGTGTGAATGTCAACTCTGACTTGTAGGATTGATCTGATCAACTGATCTCTAGAAGACGAATTACCGACAGAGATTTTACTTATTTTATCTACTCAATAATCAGTTATAAGTTCATAGGGACTTTTCTGTTAGTAGTCTGACTAGCCAGGTAGAGAGACATTACACGTCTCTGGGAACTCCAACACACGATAATCAACCAGCAACGATGCAATCATGTTTGATGCGCAACTGACGTTAAGAAAAGGACTTTTATTAAAATAAACAACAGCAAACCATAATTCTCAAGGCCGTGTTTGTGTTGATAGAGTACACTTAACTTGGTCATTGGTTCTAAAAAAAATAACCATTTTTATTTGTATTGTTAATTTTGCAGGCACCTTCAGGCTAAATATGACACCAGAAAATGTTCTAACCACTTCTGGATTATTGTCTTGATCCATATCTTGAGTTTTGTGTGCCCATCCGTTTTACATAACTGTCTTAGTTGTGCGCAATTTATGTAAATCCAATCGAGGTTTGCTTTCACAGGTTCTTAGAAAAAGAAGACGGAGAGAAAAGAAGAAGAAGAAGAAGAAGAAGAAGAAGAAGAAGAAGAAGAAGAAGAAGAAGAAGAAGAAGAAGAAGAAGAAGAAGACATGAGAAGGAGGAGGAGAAGGACAAAAACAAGCTCAAAACATTTTATATGAAGGAAAAAACGCACAGACAAAAGAACCCAAAAAGCAAAAAGAATATAAAGAAGAATAAAGCAGAAGATAAAGATGATGGGAAGCAGGTAATGTTAATGGGTAGAAGAAGATAACACGGAGGCTGAAAAGAAAAACAACAACTGGATAAGAAAAATGAAAAAACAAACATCGATGCAGCTGACGTGCCCACCTTGTACATCTCTTCCCAAGGCCGAACTTTGATGTTCTCACCGTCAATGACCAACATCTGTGAGAGCTGGAAGTGGTTGAGCCATTTCTCCAGGTGTCGACAATACAAGGATCTCTTGATGGGGGCGTACGACTTGTTAATCTCACCTGTGTATCTGTCGAAGGCTAACTCCTCGAAGCTGCCAAAGTATTCTCCGTGGCCGCTCTTGTAAAATTTTTCCTTAAAAAAAAAAAAATATATATATATATATATATATATATATATATATATATATATATATATATATATATATATATATATATAAAACTGAAAGATGCGCAGAGAAATAATTTATTAGTTAGTTGCTCATCCTTTACAAGACATGGTAGAACCAACCGCAGAGTGTTTTGGCTGTTTTGGCTGTTCTGATTTCTCTAGACAAAGTTTACGTTAATTAGTTTGCCACTGCTTTCTAAACGGTTGGCTCTCGATATAACTGTCGAAACCAATGAAATCAAATCCAGCACTCCGGCTTTACGAGCTGCGTTCGCAACGCCTGAGCGACAGAGGCCGATTAACAGTAGGAAGGGTTTGTTGTGACTTAAGGAGCATTATTTTTTTTCCCTTAGAAGATAGGCGTGACAAAAGAAGAAAAATAAAAAGAAGACATTCTTGTATAGTTGTGTTTTATAAACATTATACATAATAAATACATAGAAATGTATTGGTCGGCACTCATAAAAAGAATTAGGTTAGGTTAGTTGCGCATCCTTTACAGGACGTTGCAGAACCAACCCCAGCAGCCCCTGGCTGTTATCTGGTTTCTCTTGGCAAATTTACGTCAGGTAGTTTGCCATTGCTTACTGGACGGTCGGCCCTCTGATACCACTGACGAAACCAACGCAAGGCGCATGGCCCGCAGCTGGGATCGAACCCGGCACCCCGGCATTACGAAGCGTTCGCATCGACTGAGCCACACAGCCGACATAGAAAGTATTAGAAAGCTAAAATGACGCATAAACAACCTACACATTGAGAGGTATAGTCACACTGCCGGGAATAAAACATGTCACCTCCAAGTGACGACGGCACCTCATGCCAGACTAACCAGCCCTTCGATGTTTATGTTGTCTAGTGTGTCCTTCTATTTTTCTACTTCTTTCTTTGTGTGAGGATAAATACCTGTCTGTTTGTTGTTTATTATGCTTTAGTTTCTACAGCCCCAAGGATTTCTGTTTTTCTTCCCCCTGCGTTTTGTGACTCACTGGCTTGACAAACTCAATGTTTAGCAGCAGTAGTGATGGTGGTGGTGATGATAGAAATATTTGTTGTAGTATTATTAGCATGTTGAATGTTGAATTAGGAATCGACATCACAGCACTCAGGACACTCACATAAGTGCTCCATCCCCATCTTCAGCTGAAGTAGTAGCAGTAGTGGTAGTAGTAGTAGTAGTAGTAGAGAGAGGAGAAGTAGCAGTAGCAGTGAGCAAGTCATCCTCCCTGAAATGGTATTTCTTCTGCCAGTTAACACGGCATGAAAGTGTGGCTTCTCTGTCGTTTGGACAGAAACGTCGTAATGATGGAAGCAATATCTATTGCAGCAAATGTAAGTTCAAAGTTGACATGAATGCACACATCGTTGCTAGAAGCTTGTAAATCGTCTTCGGTTAATGTGCTGTTAATAGAATTATGTGGATTAATACTCGAGATCACTGCCCAAAACAAGACACGCGCAACAATTCTGAAATAACTAAGGTTGAGGTCGCAATAAATAAAGCTGAAAGATGACATTTCCATTTCGGCTGCAAGACCTTTGACTGTTCGCTCGTTTTTCATATTGTCGTTGCCTCGTTTTTCATATTGTCGTTGGCTCGTTTTTCATTTTGTCGTAGGTAAAATTAAAAAAAAAAAAACCTTTAATGCCACTGACACATCTGCCATATATAGCGTTAAAATATATCTTTATAACACAAAGTTTGATAGGCGTTGATGTAACCTGTTCTTGCAGCGAATCGGTGTCATTGTCTGCAGGTGAAAGCTTCGATCGTTGTTGTTACAACTATAACTTAAAGGGCGCTGGAAGGTACGGGTGGGAAAGGGGGGGGGGGGTCGCTTAGGCGCTCAGAAATAGTGTTGATGCCCTGAGGCCCTACACTCTACGAATTTTGAAAGGAGTATAGGCAGCTCCATACAAAGAAATACACAACTATTTACTTTACAAATGTTTGTATACACATTTCATTTTATTTTGAATTTATTATTGCATTTATTTGCAATTCAGTACAGTATTATTGTTAGTATTAGTATTATTATTATAATTATCATCTTAAGAAATACTGTAGCACCCCCCCCCCCCCCCCGGCTTTTTTGTTCCCCGGAAAATATACACAGCGGCCAGAGTTGGTTTCTTCCCTCCTTTTTTTTCGCCAAATGTTTTTCTGTGTCGGCGCCCCTGTACGATTTTGTTTCTGTTGCCTGTTGTGTATTCTTATTTCTACTTTTGTCTTCTACATCTGAGAGTGCCAATCAGTTCGCTACCGTTTGTTTAGCATGCTAATTCTTACAGACCAATTTGCGTCCAGTAAGTGATGTGGTAAACATCCCCTCAGCCGCTTTTACTTCCCATGACATTTTATGAAACCTAGTTTATAGCAAAGGACTCTTTTTCACGCCTTTAGGAGTATAGGGCATATAGGGCTAGATTATTATTTTATAGACCAACGGCACAAGATGGGTGATGTGGTCAGCATCACGCCGGCCGCCTCTACTTCCCGGGACTTCACCCGGTACCCACTCAAGGCTGGGTCGACCTGGGAGCCAAGGTCATTTCTGAAGAAAAGTCCGGTTCGCCAGGGAGCGAACCCACGACCTTCCGATCCGCGGCGCGCATCTAGCCGCTCTGCCACAGCGACTGCCTTATATCAAATAATATTAATAATGATGAAAGGAGCGAATTCCAGTGTTTTGTATTTAAAACTTAGACGACGTTGAGAATGCTGATTGTTACATATGAAATGATGTATGAACGAATAACTGCATTCGAGGACTGAGACTGGAAATGCAGTCTGTCGTATGTGCCAGAGTGCCATATTCTCAAACCTCTAGGTGGTGGGGGTGGGGCGATGGGTGGTGGGGGTGTTCTTTCGTTCGTTCCTTCGTTAGCTGAGTCGGCATGGGGACCAATATCATTTTTATTAACTTCCGAAAAACAAGTCCTTCAATTTACAAAACCTACTTTTCACTAGATTTTCAACTGTATAAATCATTTTGTCAGTTCTATTAGCGAAAGTCATATATTATTTGTCATGTCCGACATACCCCAGTACAATGGCACTGTCAACACACACGTAAACAGACTCAGGCAATCTTTGCAGCAGGGACCCTTGTGGTAAAATATGCGGAAATTATATCTTTGAGAAGTCTATGGTAATTGGAGCGCATGAGAAGAATGGATAACAAATGAATTCCTGACTCAAGTTTCTTTGTGCTGGCTTACGGAGAAAAAAATAGACACCTACACACACACACACACACACACACACACACACACACACACACACACACATACACACATACACACACACCAAGCGAAAGAGAAAGAGCGGTGTTTGGAGTGAGGGAGGAAGCTTCGGGGTAGCTCATGGGTTATATTCAAAGATGTGCAAAGTTTCAGCAGAGAATTTCTCTATCAGTATTGACGGCTGATAAATTTGACACAGATAAAATGGTTGATGATAGTAATATATTCTTTCTACGGAAATAAAATAAATTTGAGAGAGAAACAAAGCGGGGGGGGGGGGGGGGGGGGGGGGGGGGGGGAGAATATGGAGACAATGATAGGAAAGTGTGAGAGAGGGGGGAGAACGAGATTTGGAAGGAACGGGGGGAAAGGGGGGGGGGGGGGGGGAGTTTACACAACGGCCCAAAAAAAAATATTGATCTGCTACAGTGAAAGAGGGAGTCACCGTTACGGAGCGGCTAGACGCTCGCCGCGAATCGGAAGGTCGTGGGTTCGCTCCCTGGCGGAGCAGGACTTAGTTTCACAAATGACTTTGGCTACCAGGTCGACCCAGCCTTGAGTGGGTACCGGGTGCAGTCCCGGGAAGTAAAAGTGGCCGGCGTGATGCTAACCACATTACTCATCTTGTGCTGTTAGGTCTATAAATTATATGTCTAGCCCTATATGCCCTATACACCTAAAGGCGTGGAAAAGGGTCCTTTACTTTTCCTTCATCATCATCATGTAGCAGTTCCTTTGCAGAACGTAGCTCTCATCACAGTCTGACTGAAATAGACTCGGTCTCTCGCCAGTTCTCCCGCCTCATGTAATTTCATACTCAAGGAGTCACTTATATCCTGTGCCCATCTTCGTGTCGGTCGGCCCCTGCCGCTCCTTCCTGGTAGCATTCCTTGTGCTATAATTTTTTCCAATCCGTCGTGGCGCTTGAAATGACCATAATATTTCAGCTTCCGAGAAAGGATGCTGTTTAGTAGGCAATCTTCCTTGATATTCAGATCTTTCAAGATGTCAGTATTTCTCCTCTTCTATGTCCAAGATATTCCGATAATCTTTCCATAGCATTTCAGCTCAGAAGCCCCTATTCTCTTTCCCAAGGACTGAGAGATAGTCTACTATTCACATCCGTATGTTGCCACAGGGAAGAAGCATGCTCTCAAAATTCTAATTTTGATCTCTTTGCTGGTGCTTAACCAAAGACTTTTAAGGCTGTTCGATCCTGTACTTTACTTACAGTAAAAGACCTGTCACTGCGTGTTTATCGGTGGTTGTACGGACCTGGTGGGGTTGAACGTCACTCCTAATCGACACTGTACAGTACTGTAATATTTCCTGGTAATATTTAATTTAGATAATATACATGAAATATTTAAGTTTTAGTAGCTAGTGCACTGAGCTAAGACCCTTCTACAGACTACAAACAGTTTCACTGAAAAAACAACAACTGATTCTTGAGAAGCATCTGTTCAGTATAACTGATTGGCACCCACGCGTCTTTTAAGAAGATAGTGTAATAAATCGCTATGGGGAGGCATGCGAGTCCGAGCTTATAACGATATCGAGTGCAATTAGCAAGACCCGTCCGTTAGGAAAAATCTTCCACTATTATACCATATGATTTCAGGACCGTTGTTGTCAACATTTGTGCTTTGTCTGTTTCTTTTCAGACGCTCAGCACTTATCCTTTCTTCAGTTCATTTCTTCCTTCATTCTCATTCCCTTCTTTATGTGCACCCCTCCATTCAACATGGTGCATTTTGTTCCCACGAGTACACATCAAAGCGGCGTCCGTGGCTAAGGCGTTGCGAGTCCGACTCTTAAGCCAGCATACCGCGATCGAAACCCACTGCAGGCTGCGTGGAGTTTTGTCGTGGTATGGGACGTCGCTGGTCGACCCAGCCTAAAATGGGAACCAGGATGGACTGTCCTGGGAAAGTAAAGACAGCCGGCGTAATGCTGACCACATTACCCACAGAGTGCTGATGGTCTGTAAAAATATGGGACGCTCTGCCCATATGCCCGATGCGCTGAAAGGCGTGAAAAGGGAACTTTACTTTTTACACATCAAACCTGGATCATCTTACTGCTGAAAATGGGGACAGAGCGCTTATGAGAATGTCCTGAGGGATATGATAAAGGTTTCTTGCTTATATCTTATTGTCTATTTGTATCGTATGATGATAAAAGCTTCCCAACGGCGACGTTTATGTTATTGTTCGTGACTGTGGTACTGTGAAGATGATTCATTCTTTTGCTCGTTTGGATTAACAGTTTTCCCACTTCAAATAAATATCTAAAAAGTGGACACCAAAGGTGTTATTTATATTTTTAAATGGTTACATTATTAATATCAGTTGTCGTCTGCAGAAAAGGGACAAAACAATTCAAGATGTCAACATTAACGTTGTGAAAAGACAAAGTAATTTGTAAATATGGAAGGAACCACAGAGGGAAAATGTGAAACAGAAACTGTTGCGCTTCAATGAAATACATGTTAAAAAAATACGCACTAATGGCATGCAAAGACAACTATTTACTGACGATCACACAAAGGGAACAGCAGAATGGTAATGAGCATCAAGGGGGTTATGCTTCTTGAGGTGTCAAGTCTGGAGTTGGAAACAACGATCATGACACCGCACTCAAATTGGTTAAGTGATCGTTTCCCAAGTTCCAGACAGCTTTTAGTATTATCTGCTTCACAGCTGTTCAAGCTTTTTTCTGTCTTCCCCTGACTCGCTGGCCAAGAAATTGTCTGTATGAAGCTAATTTGTCTACTCCTCTTACGACAATGCCTTCCGTTTATGTTATGCTTTTTAACTCTTTGAGTCCCAAGGAAAGCATCATACGTTCACAGGTTCCTAGTAGCCCAATTAATGCATAATGCGCTGACTGTATGTCTCTATTGACTATCCATAGGGCCTGTGATGCTAATCCCGCTGGGACTCAAAGAGTTAATAAGTACGACTGTAACCCATCAACTCTGACTTCCCAAGCGTTTTTCTTTCAGAACAGTGTCATATAATTCTTCACACTCTTCTCAAAAGCCACGCATCAGCTGCCTGAAAACTCTCTAATTTGCTTCACTGCCGGACTTAGAGATCACTGCCGGACGTAGAGATCACTGCCGGACGTAGAGATCACTGCCGGACGTAGAGATCACTGCCGGAGGTAGAGATCACTGCCGGACGTAGAGATCACTGCCGGACGTAGAGATCACTGCCGGAGGTAGAGATCACTGCCGGACGTAGAGATCACTGGCGGACGTAGAGATCACTGCCGGACGTAGAGATCACTGCCGGAGGTAGAGATCACTGCAGGACGTAGAGATCACTGCCGGAGGTAGAGATCACTGCCGGACGTAGAGATCACTGCCGGACTTAGAGATCACTACCGGACGTAGAGATTACTGCCGGGCGTAGAGTTTACTGCCGGACGTAGAGATTACTGCCAGACTTATAGATTACTGCAGGGCGTAGAGATTACTGTCGGACGTAGAGATCACTACCTGACTTAAAGATTACTGCAGGGCGTAGAGATCACTACCGGACGTAGAGATCACTACCGGACGTAGAGATACAAATGGTCAGCTTCAAGAGGGTCTTAAGAAGGAGTAAATACAAAAAAACAGATGCTACTGATACATGGTCAGAGTCCACCAGAGTGGTCACGCTAGTCATTGTAACAGTAGACATGCTAGTCATTGTAACGGTAGTCATGCTAGTCATTGTAACGGTAGTCATGCTAGTCATTGTAACGTTAGTCATGCTAGGTATTGTAACGTTAGTCATGCTGGTCAATGTAACGTTAGTCATGCTAGCTATTGTAACGGTAGTCATGCTAGTCATTGTAACGGTAGTCATGCTAGTCATTGTAACGATAGTCATGCTAGTTATTGTAACGGTAGTTATGCTAGTCATTGTAACGATAGTCATGCTGGTCATTATAACGGTAGACATGCTGGTCATTGTAACGGTAGTTATGCTAGTCATTGTAACGATAGTCATGCTAGTCATTGTAACGGTAGTCATGCTAGTCATTGTAACGGTAGTCATGCTAGTCATTGTAACGATAGATATGCTAGTCATTGTAACGGTAGTTATGCTAGTCATTGAAGCGATAGTCATGCTAGTCATTGTAACGGCAGTTATGCTAGTTATTGTAACGGTAGTCATGCTAGTCATTGTAACGGTAGTCATGCTAGTCATTGTAACGGTAGTCATGATGGTCATTGTAACGGTAGTCATGCTAGTCATTGTAACGGTAGTCATGATGGTTATTGTAACGGTAGTCATGCTAGTCATTGTAACGGTAGTCATGATGGTCATTGTAACGGTAGTCATGCTAGTCATTGTAACGGTAGTCATGATGGTCATTGTAACGGTAGTCATGATGGTCATTGTAACGGTAGTCATGCTGGTCATTGTAACGGTAGTCATGCTAGTTATTGTAACGGTAGTCATGATGGTTATTGTAACGGTAGTCATGCTAGTCATTGTAACGGTAGTCATGATGGTTATTGTAACGGTAGTCATGCTAGTCATTGTAACGGTAGTCATGCTAGTCATTGTAACGGTAGTCATGCTAGTAATTGTAACGGTAGTCATGCTAGTTATTGTAACGGTAGTCATGATGGTTATTGTAACGGTAGTCATGATGGTTATTGTAACGGTAGTCATGATGGTTATTGTAACGGTAGTCATGATGGTTATTGTAACGGTAGTCATGATGGTTATTGTAACGGTAGTCATGCTAGTCATTGTAACGGTAGTCATGCTAGTCATTGTAACGGTAGTCATGCTAGTTATTGTAACGGTAGTCATGCTAGTTATTGTAACGGTAGTCATGCTAGTTATTGTAACGGTAGTCATGCTAGTTATTGTAACGGTAGTCATGCTATTTATTGTAACGGTAGTCATGCTAGTCATTGTAACGGTAGTCATGCTAGTTATTGTAACGGTAGTCATGATGGTTATTGTAACGAAGACGACGACGACAACGATGAAAGCTATTTCTACTTGATAACATTTATTGGGTGTATGCTTCATAAATCGGACTTTCCCGCTAGTCCCAATTACATTTTATAAAAGCTTATTTTTAAGTAATGCATTACAGAAGTCATAGATTTTGCAGCCTTGCTGTCAACCACAACACAATGTGTCAATCGCTCTTTTCAAGGCCAGCGCACAAGAAGAAGAAGAAGAAAAAGAAGAAGAAGAAGAAGAAGAAGAAGAAGAAGAAGAAGAAGAAGAAGAAGAAGAAGAAGAAGAAGAAGAAGAAGAAGAAGAAGAAGAAGAAGAAGAAGAAGAAGAAGAAGAAGAAGAAGAAGAAGAAAAGAAGAAGAAGAAGAAGAAGAAGAAGAAGAAGAAGAAGAAGAAGAAGAAGAAGAAGAAGAAGGTGAAGAAGAAGAAGAAAGAGAGGGAGGAGGAGGAGAAAAAGAAGAAGAAGAAGAAGAAGAAGAAGAAGAAGAAGAAGAAGAAGAAGAAGAAGAAGAAGAAGAAGAAGAAGAAGAAGAAGAAGAAGAAGAAGAAGAAGAAGAAGAAGAAGAAGAAGAAGAAGAAAAAGATGTGAGGAAGAAGAAGAAGAAGAAAAAGACGATGACGATGATAATGATAAATGACTAATAACTGGGAGCAATTGTTCGCTAAATGTTTAAATGTATTCTCAGGTCAATCTCTGCTAACTAACTATTTAACTAACTGATCAGCACTATATACTATTGCAAGACTAATTGGACTTCGCATGTCTCACCTTCAGCTGAACGTAATCAGACACGGCTCTGTCTATAGGATTCCGGACAATGAGGATGAGTTTTATGGAAGAATTAAAGTTGTAGACCCTCTCTGGCACCATCCAGTCCACGAAGTAGCTGGGGGTCTTTTCAACAGTTAGCTGGGTCTCCAGAGAATACGGCATCTGATCCCTATACCAGTCCAGACCTTGGTCGAAGTATCTGCGGATGAAGCATATAAACACAACCATATCAGAGCAGGATATGAAAGCAAAAATCATAAACACAACCATATCAGAACAAGGTATAAAAGCGAAAAAACAAAACCTTTTCAGTGCACTAACACGAGAGATGTAAACACATATCTTATCAGTGCAGGTAACTGTGGTCATAGTTTATGTAGATGAAATATTTAACACAGTCAAACCAGAGATGCGTTTCTGTAGAACAAACACAAAACACACACACACACACACACACACACACACACACACACACACATATATATATATATATATATATATATATATATATATATATATATATATATATATATATATCAGAGGTTGCTGTCTTCAGATGAAACATATAAATGCAGGTAATGACAGAGCTGACAGATTGGCAAAGAAAGGAGCAACACAAGAACAACCACCTACAGCGACAACCCTCCAGACAGCAAAAACACTGATAAGAGCTATAAACAAAGAGACTTGGTTGAACAGATGGGCCATGGGAGACACTGGAAGAGAGGTTTATAGACATATGTCTGGCCCTGATCCTAATGACAGCATTAACCATCTAACAAGAAGGGACCAGGCCACCATCTTCAGACTTAGAACGCAACATACTCCACTCAATGGACACCTAAACAGAATACAGCCACAACACTCCCCAGAGTGCCAGCTATGTAACTACCCCTACGAAACTGTTGAACACCATCTCTTTGAGTGCCCAAAACTCAGTGAGACAAGAAGAACGCTACTCCCTCCGAGACCAGACAAGTGGAACACCTTGTACGGAGGAAAAGAACAGCTTGTGAAAACATGCAAATTCCACTACATGGCATTGGGCCAAAGGGCGAAAGCTCATGCGCCGCTGGATCGATAACAACAACAACAACAACAAATGCAGTCATATCAAAACAAATGTACAAACTTCAAGTTTCAGATCTTGTACACAGGACACCACAACGCTCATCGGCAGGACAGTGCAGGATGCAGAGGAGCTCTCCAAGAAGCGACTTTCTTACAGGCGTGCTGTGATGGGAGCGACGCCAGTAAAGGTTATGCTACATGATGATGATGAGGACGGAGCTGATTAGTATTAGTCTTCTACTTCTTCTTTTGTCCCCACATAGTTCTTAGAATTGTGTGTATTACTCACAGGCCTAGAGTTGTCTCCATTATTGATTGCCTATTGTTCCATGAGTCACATCACTACAACCTTATATCAAATATCTGTGTTCTTAAAATGTGTTCCCGTAATTTTGTTAGTGCTTCTCCATTTGCCATGTTTGAGTCTTGTCTATTTCTAGGAAAAAGCCCTTTGTGCACTACAAACATGACAGGCTGGAAAGTTAAAACACAAAAGAAAAAATTTGAGGCGGGCATTGTGCTTGTTGTTTACGATGCTCTGTTCCCATTCCTAGGTTGTTTTGTTGCTAGTTTTTTGTTGACATCGTTTTTCGACCATTACTATTGATTTAACTTTTATCTGTAAAACCTCACCACTGCAAGTGTTTTACTGAGAGTGAAACTATAAGTTCGGTGCAGGGCATAGGTGCCGAAGCCTGGGCGCTCAGTATGTGTGTGTGTACGCATGTGCGTGTGTGTGTGCGTGTGCGTGTGTGTGTGGAAAGAGGAAAGGGAGAATTCTTCTTCCCATAATTTCAACTATGTGTGTTGCTTGAGAGAACATTCTTCTTCTTCTTCTTCTTCTTCTCCCCCAATGGAGCATAGGCCCTCAACCAACTCACGCCAAGTCGTTCTATCCTTCGCCATTGCATGGAGCTCTCCCCATATCCTCCCCATCTTTCTTACTTCAATCTCCAGCTCTCTTCTCCATGTGTTTTTTGGCCTTCCTTTATTCCTATGCCCCTGTGGGTTCCAATGCAAAGACATTATAGTTATGCTGTTCTCCTGTTTTCTCAGTGTGTGCCCTTTCCAACGCCAGCGTCTTTTCCTCACCTCCTGTGAGAGAACATTAGTAATAATAATAATAATTATAATTATAATAATGTGATAAATGGCAAAAATGACATAATAATATACAATAAGACATGTTTAACACGAACTCGCGTACAAAGAACATTTGGTAGACATGAGCAGCACGGATGTATTATCGTTTATTAGTCCCCCGGTTAGCACGAAGTTTTTTTAATATGAACTGGGTTTTGGTTCCTTAGAATTTTTGTTATCGGGGATTTATTATACCTGAAATAATATGAACTCTATTAAACAAAACTGAAACATAATTTGCAAACAGGATATATAGGAGCATCGTTACACAATTTCAGAATGGGAGGGCTGAAACTGCAATTTTTTAAAGGCACAACTCTGTGCTACCAGTGCCAGATATGGTCACTCACAACAAACCATAAAAGAAAATTAGTAACCATGGAAATGAGATGTCTGAGAAGGGCTGTAGGGGTGATCATAAGAGATAAGATCAGGAATGAGATCATAAGAGAACAAGTCGGAACAGAACCAATTCTGGATTACATACAAAGACAGCAAGTGAAATGGTTTGCCCACTTAGAGAGAATGCCTTGTGACACCATACCATAAAAAGCATACATGGAAAGAGAAGAAGGACGTAGAGCACGGGGTAGACCAAGAACAAGACGGAAGGATAACATCAGAGAAACTCTACAACAGCACGATGTGCCTATGGTCGAGGCAGCCAGAAGAGCTAGAAACAGAACCTTTTATCTCCCTCGACACCCACAGCGGTAAAAGAGGAAGTGAAGATGAAGAGAAGAAGAAGAAGAAGAAGACAAGGGGTGCACTCCAGGACCTGAGGTTTCCATCTAACGAATTATTTGCCTAGACAATGTGTAAAGTGGGGAAGAGGCTGTGGTAAGGGGGGAGGGGAAAAAGGGGGGAGGGGGGAGAAACTCAGAGTTTTTCTAATATGTTGTGACTTAGAGAGGGGTTCTCTGAAGGCGTCTCAGGCTCCCCACCCACCCATTTTCTCATTTGGCGTTTAGGGCGTGGTTGAATCTTCAAATTTTGTTAATTTATCTGCCCTTACCCCCTACCCCTCATGTTTTCTACGTGGCTGCTCGCCTGGTGCAAACCTGTCAAAAAAGTGCGTTTCCTGCCTGGAAGCGGCCACGTCTGGATGAAGATTGATGAAGCGGAGGAGAGCTCTGGTTCCAGCTTTACGAGCCCCGATGACAATGGCTGATGGCAAACGCCTTTTTAGGCTAATGGGAAGTGGTAGTTGACTTTCATCGCTGTTTTCGACGGCGTAGTCTGGTGATAAAAAGTATATTACCAATTAATGTCGCGATTATATTATTTCAATTAACAGGAAAATCTAAGTAAAATAAACAATAATTCTGATCTAATTGGTAAACTGATATAAACGAGCCTAGATGGCGCTGTGGAACACAGGCGTGCTTGTCTGTCTAGTGCAGTGGTTCTCAGCCTATGTGTCGCGACCGCTTTTTTGGGTCGAACAACGCCTTCACAGGGGCCGCCAAAGACTATCGCAAAACACATATTCATTGAAGTTATGAAGTAGCAACGAAAATAACTGTATGGTCGGGGGAACACGAGAAACTGTATTAAAGGGTCGCTGCATTAGAAAGGTTAAGAATCACTGGTTTAGTGTCTGTGTTCCCATCTTCACGATGGAAGCAACCAGACTGTTTGTAGAACCTTCCCTTGTGGGTTCCGGCGCCCCATTGTAGAACCAAAAAAAGAATAGACCCACTGCCTCCCTAACAAGCATGTCCTCAGAGTCTACTAATTAGGGGTGTCCTTTGAAGTCGCAGCTCATCTGCCCCATAGGAAAGGAACCAACAGTCTGCATACAAATAAGCAAAATGTGTATAATGATTATGCACGCAAAACTCAAGTTCTAAAACAAGACTAAAGCTCAGAAGTTGACGAACAACCAGAAATATCGACGGAGTTTACAGCTCTGTGAATGGGAAGAGGAAGAAGTAGCTAGCTGCTGACGTTGGGGTCGGAACACTTATGGGAATGAATGTCCTGAGTGCTATTATGTTGGTTTTTAACTAATCATCATCACTATGTCATTGTTTTAAACCGTTGACCAAGTTAGAAGAACAAAAAAGCTTAAACATGCACAATAAACTTTGTGATGTTCTTTTCCTGTGCCCTCTTTTCTCTTCTTTCTTCGTTCGAGAGGAACACATCACCTTTAGTTCACTCTTCTGAGTAATGTTTGTTTCTTCTTTACTAAACACTTTGTCAGGTCGGTCAGCTGATAGCCAGCTCGGCTCGCCAGCGTAGTGGGTCCGCAGAAAGTGTAGTTAGAAATGGTAGTGTTAGAGATGGTACTAGGGATAAGTCCAGCGTATCAACCGGAAAATACTGCCATAACTATGATGCAGAAACTCAAGCTATCAAGATAGCAACAGAGAAACTGCTAAATACCAATCTTGGCTCACAGTATGTGGTAATGCTGACAGATGCTAAATCAGTACTTGAAGCACTCCAGTCTAGGAAACTACCAGAATTGCAAACCCTGCTGACACAACTTAGCCTTCAGCAAAGAGTTGTAATGCAGTGGATACCATCACATTGTGGAGTGCATGAAAATGAGAAAGCTGATCAACTGGCAGGAGAAGGTGCGACAAACGTGCAGCCGGATATACCAGTCACATACCACCAAAAGAAAAGAATAATTAAATCAATCAGGAAACCTTATTATGGTCAGATCAGAACAAGTCATTATCCTCGGCCTCAGAACAGGGTACAACCGATTACGTAACCACATGTACACAAATTTCAAGATAGGCGTATCAGCCATGTGCACCTGTGGAAAGGTGCCCCAGACAGCAGAGCATGTACTCCAGCACCACACCGAATTTGACACATTAGGGCAAACCTTTTGGCCAGAAAGAACACAGTGGAACGTAAACTCTGTGGACCACTGAATGAATTAACAACAGCAGTGAAATTTATACAAGAGACAAAACTGCCGATAAAGACAACTTATTTCAGGCGAACGAAAGAAGAAAAAGAAGCTAGCGTAGTTGGCTAAACCGGACTGCGCGGTGAACGGGTGACGAACTCCTTGTGGTCCGGGTTCACGCCCGGGGGTAGGCAAAAAAGCCGCATTTCTCCCAGATTTACGGTATTTATCATGGAATCAAGGCCAAAGGGTTGCGATATCCATAGTACCGAGCCAAAGGGTTAACAACTCATGGCTTTTGGATACTAAAAAAAAAAAAAAAAAAACTGATGTCCAGCATTTTGCACTTGACAACTCTCGCCCGCAAAATCCAAGCGTGCCACTTTATTATTGATCCAAATCACCGAAGCAACAGAACGTCATGTAATCAGTTAATTCAATGTCACAAACCGTTAATTTAGTTAGTGTAGACATTAATCATTTCTATATAATTGTCTTTCTATGATTTATTGGGATCCACGTAAAATAAAAATAAGAAGAAGAACAATGCAAAATGGATGTTCCGGAAGTTAGTGTGTTGGATTGCCTACACTAAAAAAAAAAAAAAAAGTGTATGAAGAGAAACAACATTTTCTGGGCCATAGATGTATTTACACATATTGATTAATGCCCAGAAACGGAACTAGCCTGTATTGGGCTTTGTCTGGGTTTTGTATCGCCTTCTCTTGGTTGTTATGTCTTTTTATATCACAATATCCTGTCTTTGCTAAGTGTGGTCACATCGACCACTATTGACCAGTGAATGGTATGTTTGCTTTTGGTCCAGTAATCATAATCAGGGCTGCCGAAGGTGGTACTTCCGTACAAATATGGTAGTCTTACAACCTTGCCTGGCAAAACTGTGCTTCTAGGAGCACGCTCGATGTTGTGGTAGGTTTTAAACAGTTTGCAACAGTATTTTTTAAATTTTAACATTTTGTCAACATTTCCCCCCCCCGAAAAAGTGGTTGGAAATATACAGAAAACAAGCGTGATTGAAATTGTTGATACAAGGGTACCATTTGACATGGCTAGTAAAGTACTTAAAAACCAGTCTAGAAGTGTCCGACTGACTGACTGATTGACTGACTCATTGACTAACTGACTGACTGACTGACTGACTGATGACTGACTGACTGACTGATTGACTAACTCACTGACTAACTGACTGACTGACTTACTGACTGACTGATTGACGTTCGACCATAGCAGGACCGCACGACGAGGGACATATACACGGTGACACAAAGTGCCACCATTTGGATGAGAATCACGCCGGCGTAAGTTCCACAAAACCCGGTGCAACGTTAGGTTATATTTAGGGACCCCGCAAAAAGCCCCGTGGGACTTAAACAAAAACAAAAAATGCGCTTACCACAGTGGGACTGGAGTTAACCGGAGTATCTGTCTAGACAACTGAGAGATGGTTCTCATTCATGTCTTCTGTCACGGTATAACTCAATGGTTTAGTTGACGAATCCCGGGTCGACCCAGCCTTGAGTGGGTACCGGGTGAAGTCGCAGGAGGTAAAAGCAGCCGGCATGATGCTTACCACATCACCCATCTTGTGCCGATTGGTCTATAAAATATAGGTCTAGGTATAGGTTTATGCCCTATACGCCTAAAGGCGTGGAAAGGGGTCCTTTACTTTTAACTTTTTTTTTTAACTTGACGCTCAAGTATTGGGATTACGTGTTTTTTTTTTTTTTTTTTTTTTTTTTTCAAAGTATTTTGTGACATTTTGTAAACATCCAGTTACATATATGATTTAAAAGTTTTTTTTTAAATTTCAAATTTTAAATATAGGTACCTTGTCGCATGTTTCAATACCTTTTCTAATAAAATGATGTGTTCTTTCTAATACAGTTGTGTGCCATTTCTAATACAGTTGTGTGCCCTTTCTAATACAGTTGTGTGTCCTTTCTAATAGTGTGCCATTTCTAATACAGTTGTGTGCCATTTCTAATACAGTTGTGTGCCCTTTCTAATACAGTTGTGTGCCATTTCTAATACAGTTGTGTGCCATTTCTAATACAGTTGTGGGCCCTTTCTAATACAGTTGTGTGCCCTTTCTAATACAGTTGTGTGCCATTTCTAACACAGTTGTGTGCCCTTTCTAATACAGTGTGCCCTTTCTAATACAGTTGTGTGCCATTTCTAACACAGTTGTGTGCCATTTCTAACACAGTTGGGTGCCATTTCTAATCCAGATGTGTGCCATTTCTAATACAGTTGTGTGCCCTTTCTAATACAGTTGTGTGCCCTTTCTAATAAAATTGGGTACAAAGTAAAGGGAGCTTTTCCACGCCTTTATGCGTATTGGGAATATAGGGCTAGACCTAAATTTTTATAGACCAATTGGCACTTGGTGAGTGATGTGGTCAGTATCACGCCGTCCGCCTTTACTTCCCAGGACTGCACCTGGTACCCACTCAAGGCTGGGTCAACCTGCGAGTCAATAACAAATATGAGTCCGGCACCATATGCAGGATGTGCCAATGGAGTGCAAGAGATTAGTTGTAGCATGTTGTCTCTGAGGCAATGGAGTGCAAGAGATTAGTTGTAGCATGTTGTCTCTGGGGCAATGGAGTGCAAGAGATTAGTTGTAGCATGTTGTCTCTGAGGCAATGGAGTGCAAGAGATTATTGTAGCATGTTGTCTCTGAGGCAATGGAGTGCAAGAGATTAGTTGTAGCATGTTATCTCTGAGGCAATGGAGTGCAAGAGATTAGTTGTAGCATGTTGTCTCTGAGGCAATGGAGTGCAAGAGATTAGTTGTAGCATGTTATCTCTGAGGCAATGGAGTGCAAGAGATTAGTTGTAGCATGTTATCTCTGAGGCAATGGAGTGCAAGAGATTAGTTGTAGCATGTTGTTTCTGAGGCAATGGAGTGCAAGAGATTAGTTGTAGCATGTTATCTCTGAGGCAATGGAGTGCAAGAGATTAGTTGTAGCATGTTATCTCTGAGGCAATGGAGTGCAAGAGATTAGTTGTAGCATGTTGTCTCTGAGGCAATGGAGTGCAAGAGATTATTTGTAGCATGTTGTCTCTGAGGCATTCTTGACACATCTAGAACCTTTCTCCAGTCAATTTAGGAATCTGGGAATTTTTCTTTATCACTTCGACATGCCTTACCCTATTTATCTACAAGAATTTTTTTTTTTCATGTCGACATAACTCACCCAATCTATCTACAAGCACTCTCATCCAGTCGACATATCTCACCCTATTTATCTACAAGCAGTTTTGTTATTTTGACGTCTCTGACTTGATCTATCTACTAGCACTTTTATCATGTCAGCATATGTCACCCTATCTATCTAAAAGCATTTTATCATGTTCACAAATCTCAGCATATCTATCTAAAAGCATTTAATCATGTTCACAAATCTCCGCATATCTATCTAAAAGCATTTTTATCATGTTCACAAATCTCAGCATATCTATCTAAAAGCATTTAATCATGTTCACAAATCTCAGCATATCTAACAGCTTTTTTTATCACGTCGACATATCTCGCCATATCTATCTAAAAGTAATTATTTTCATATAGACATGTCTTATCCTATCTATTTACAAGCACTTTTTTCATGTCGACGTGTCTCACCCCATCTAGCTACAAGCAGTTTTATCATGTCGACAGTATCTCACCATATCTATCTACAAGCAGTTTTATCATGTCGACATATCTCACCATTTCTATCTACAAGTAATTATTTTCATGTGGACATGTCTTATCCTATCTATTTACAAGCACTTTTTTTTTATTGTCGACGTGTGTTGTGTTACCCTATCTATCTACAAGCAGCTTTATCATGTCGACATATCTAACCATATCTATCTACAAGCAGTTTTATTATGTCGACATATCTCACCATTTCTATCTACAAGCAGTTTTATTATGTCGACATATCTCATCATATCTATCTACAAGCAGTTGTATTATGTCCGACATATCTCACCATATCTATCTACAAGCAGTTTTATTATGTCCGACATATCTCACCATATCTATCTACAAGCAGTTTTATCATGTCGACATATCTCACCATATCTATCTACAAGCAGTTTTATTATGTCCGACATATCTCACCATATCTATCTACAAGCAGTTTTATTATGTCGACATATCTCACCATATCTATCTACAAGCAGTTTTATTATGTCGACATATCTCACCATATCTATCTACAAGCAGTTTTATTATGTCGACATATCTAACCATATCTGTATACAAGCACTTTTTTTTAATGTCGACATGTCTAACACTAACTATCTGCAAGCACTTTTATCATGCCGACATATAGAACCCTATCCATCTGGAAGCACATATTTTATAATGTCGATAAATCTCACCCTCTCTATCTAGAAGCACTTTGATCATGTCGAAATATGTCCGAAAAACTAGAAATGTATCCTGAACATAGATTGCATTCTGAAATACCTGAAATATTATATCCAGAACAGTTATTGATGATGTTTCTGGAGAGATTCTCTTGGGAGAGAGGAACAAAGTTGTCGCTGGACCCATAGAAAGCCACAGAGAAGAAGGTGAAATCTTTGCTGCCATGCCTGATGTGAACTTCATTCATTCTGGTCACGGTGCTGAGCATAAGGAAGAGAGAAAAGGCCGCTAGAAGTCCGCCGCTCATCAGTTTGTACCGGGTCAGTTTAGGACAACGTAACATTGGAAAGTGAGGTATTTGCTTGTCTGTTGGCGGGGCCCTGGATACTGTTGTTGTTTCTTGTTGTATTATCTTTCCATATCGCTTGGTAAATTGTGCCTCTTGGGTACTGTCGTTCTGGACATCATCTGGAAAAATAATTAAAGGTCATAATTGTAAGGCTAGGCTAGAAGGCAATTCAGTGTAACCAATTATGACTTAGTCTCATACTGGTCGTGGTAGTGCTAGCTTTACAAAATACATTTGCCTAGTCACAGGCCTTCTTGTTTTTGTTATTGTTCTTCTTCTTCGTATTCTTCTTCGTATTCTTCTTATTCTCCCTCTTCTTATTCTCCTCCTCCTCCTCCTCCTCCTTCTTCTTCTTCTTCTTCTTCTTCTTCTTCTTCTTCTTCTTCTTCTTCTTCTTCTTCTTCTTCTTCTTCTTCTTCTTCTTCTTCTTCTTCTTCTTCTTCTTCTTTTCCCCTTCTCCTTCTTCTCCTCTTCAGTCTGCTTTGTCTTTCTCCTCTTCCACCTCATCGCTTTTGTTTTCTCCATCTTGCTTTTTCTTTCTTTCTTTCTTTCTTTCTTTCTTTCTTTCTTTCTTTCTTTCTTTCTTTCTTTCTTTCTTTCTTTCTTTCTTTCTTTCTTTCTTTCTTTCTTTCTTTCTTCTTTCTTTCTTTCTTTTCTTTCTTTCTTTTTCTTTCTTTCTTCTTTCTTTCTTTCTTTCTTTCTTTCTTTCTTCTTATTTCTTTCTTTCTTTCTTTCTTTTCTTTCTTTCTTTTTCTTTCTTTTCTTTCTTTCTTTCTTTCTTTCTTTCTTTCTTTCTTTCTTTCTTTCTTTCTTTCTTTCTTTCTTTCTTTCTTTCTTTCTTTCTTTCTTTCTTTCTTTCTTTTCTTTCTTTCTTTCTTTCTTTCTTTCTTTCTTTTTTTTTCTTCTTCTTTTCTTTTTCTTCTTCTTCTTCTTCTTCTTCTTCTTCTTCTTCTTCTTCTTCTTCTTCTTCTTCTTCTTCTTCTTCTTCTTCTTCTTCTTCTTCTTCTTCTTCTTCTTCTTCTTCATCTTCTTCTTCTTCCTCCTCTTCTTCTTCGTTGTTCTGGTCCTATACTTTTCTCCCGCTTCTTCTCTATAGAAATTCTACTACTCACCTATCTCATTCTTTTCTCCCCATCACTCATTCTTCTACTGCTGCTGTTGCTAATTCGGCTTGTACCGTATCTCATCCAGCAATAAATCACGAACCGGTTGACACAAACATTTACGATTTTTTTTTAATATGAACGTTTTCTAAACTGACATAAATCATTTCATACACATCTTCAACTCACTGCGTGCACTCAAACTGATAGAACTGGAATCCGAGCATTTTCAAACTGATCGCTTCATTAACTTTATCAAAACCATGATTTCATAACTTGAGTTTTCGAAATTGATTTTTCATGTCTTGTCGCTATGCGAACGTTATATGGTGCAGCTTTGGTGCCGCAGTGGCACAGGGGTTTGTCCTATTGCTGATGTCTTAAAGCTTCTCAAAGAGTTTCCCATTGTTTATTAGCTGGGGAGTTTGTGTTAATGTGATTTTGATGTTATATAATGTCACTTCACACCCTTCGCCCATCTCTTTCTTGGTAGGTGTCTTGCCATGTAGCCTGCTGTGATTTTCTTTCATTCTGATCAGATGATCAAATTACATGAATCTTTGATGTTCTATGGATCTGTTTACCCATAATGTTCGTTTTATTGTTCTTAGTTCATCATCGCTGTGTGACTCTGTCTCTTCTTGTTTGTCCCAAGCATTTTCTTTACATTTCATCTCACAGTTTGTATTTATGTTATTGTAGGACTGTCTGTATCTTGTATTGCCAGCACAATACTGGTACGTATAGCATATTTATCAGCTCAGTTCTCAACAGTGTCGTGATTATTGTCTACCATTTGTTCTTTATTTTGTATTATAATGTTACTTCAATTTTAATATATGCCAGTAAAAACGTGAAAAGTCACTACATGCAGCTAAAGTTAAAGGCAACTGAAAGCAAATGAGTCAGGACATTAATTAACATTGAATGTGATGAACTGAAGAATGGGTAATACGAAACCTGTATTGACTTGCTGCTTACAATAACAGTAAAAGATTAACTAATGTCACTAGAAATTGACAGAAAAGAGGAAATAGATGAAAAGACTAAACGAGAATGTCCAAAAGAAACACAAAAATGAACGCTGTCGAGGAGGCCAATGATGCTGGTTTGAATCCCTTCCATGGTATAGAACGGATTGTGCAGGACAAAACAGCATTTAGGACTAAACAGTAGACCTTATAATAACTGAATGACACAATGAGGATGAAGGTGATGAGGACGATGATGAAGACGAGGAGGAGCAGGAAAATGATGATGATAATGATTACTTATCTGGTTTAGGCACATCCTGGCAAAAGTAAGTACCCGACAATATTTAGAATTTTCGAGAAATGTTGGCGAAAGTGACAGGCAACCAGACAAGGATTATTGCAAATCTACATCCCATGTTATGGACTAGAATGTGTTTGTGTATGTGTATGTGTGTGTAAACGTGTGAAAAAAGGGTACCTCTGCATAGCCCAAAGCCTGGGCAGTAGTAGAAGTACTGAGACTATGTGTTGCATCATGAGCCCTATCTCGGTCTGCCTTGTTTACGGCAAAGGAAAGACAACATCAGTACGTTTAAAACAAAGCAGGTTACAGAAACTTTCTTTCAACCTGTCGGAGCTTCTCTCCTAGACCATTTCTTAGACAAGGCTAGGGTCATGCCTGGCCTGACCCTCCTAGGCCATCTCTCACACAAGGCTAGGGACATGCCTGGCCTGACTCCTAGGCCATCTCTCACACAAGGCTAGGGACATGCCTGTCCTAACCCTCCTAGGCCATCTCTCAGCCAAGGCTAGGGACATGCCTGGCCTGACCCTCCTAGGCCATCTCTCAGACAAGGCTAGGGACGTGCCTCGCCTGACCCTCCTAGGCCATCTCTCAGACAAGGCTAGGGTCATGCCTAGTCTGACCCTCCTAGGCCATCTCTCAGACAAGGCTAGGGACATGCTTGGCCTGACCCTCCTAGACCATCTCTCACACAAGGCTAGCGACATGCCTGTCCTGACCCTCCTAGGCCATCTCTCAGACAAGGCTAGGGACATGCTTGGCCTGACCCTCCTAGACCATCTCTCACACAAGGCTAGGGACATGCCTGTCCTGACCCTCCTAGGCCATCTCTCAGCCAAGGCTAGGGACATGCCTGGCCTGACCCTTCTAGGCCATCTCTCAGACAAGGCTAGGGACGTACCTCGCCTGACCCTCCTAGGCCATCTCTCACACAAGGCTAGGGACATGCCTGTCCTGGCTGTCCTAGGCCATCTCTCAGACAAGGCTAGGGTCATACCTGTACTGACAAAAATTTCCAGGCTTCATTTCCTCTTCCTAGAAAAAAGCTAGTACCCGCCCTAATTCCCTCCTTAGCCTGAAGCTGTAGGCACAATGTGGGATGTCAAGTTTGGAATACGCCGCCCAACAGTCATAGACTTCTGTTATACAGTAGCTCATATAAATATACATCGTTCTCTGATTTCTTTCTATGCAAATGGCTTGCGAAATCACAAAATCAGAACATGATAGTAGGGTTACTTACGATGTTTCAAAAAAATATATGTTGTCTTTGTTGGGTACTACTTGTTCCCATTGTATTGACATCTTGACGTGTCTTGTTGTTGGACAGCGTGAAGAGGTGAAAGCGTAACTCTGAGAATCAATGGGGGAAACAAATATGTAATTATAATATAAGTATACTGACTGTATACATTTTATTTTGCACTAATATTGTGAATTTCTTAGTTTCTATGGCACACGGCTCGGAGGAGAAAGCCAAAACCAATTACAGAGATGAATGCACCAGTGTGATATCTGGAACAATGATCCTCATACGCTCACAATAAGTATTAATAGTAATAATAATAATAATAATAATGATAATAATAATAAATAGAAGATGATGATGATAAAGAAGAAGAAGAAGAAAAGAAGAAAAGTAATGCACTTGGTACAGCGGCGTCATACACGATTCTCTATGATACTACTGATGAAAGTCAAGCGTGGCCACAAGTAAACAACTTCTACACTCTAGAAGGCTTCAAACTACCATTAAAACACAGGTTGGATTCAAAGCATGGGAACAAACAAGATAACTATATTAAAGTGTCATGGGAACCACAAAGTGAATGTAACACAATAGGCCGTAACTCCATAACATTGTTTTATGAGGAGAAATAACAATTCACAAATACCACAACAAAGTATGTATAAAGTATGCACAAAAACAGTTCGCTGACTATTCAATAAAACGGAAAAGTGACGGCGAGCAATCTAAGTACTTTTATAATTTTAAAGAAAGTGGGGTGATTCCTTCAGTTCCCATCAGCACCACTTTGGCAAATAAAGGTTGACTGCGATCTGTGTTTGCAAGAAATGCCAAGGGTTTGCAGCCATTGTTGCCAGAGGCAAAGTCCGGGAACAATACCATAACAGATTTTCTTGACATGTGTCTGCAGTTGGCAGATGGTGCTACCACGCCCACGTCTCGTCTACTGACACCGGGGCTCACCTTTCCCATAGGGGACGTAACAGGAGATTTGGCTTCACCAAGATAACTATTGTTGTTGGCTTTGTTTTTTTTTAAGATAGGGAGAGGCAACGCAGAATAAGAAAACAAGAAACTGAATTCAACCACAAATGCCAATGAGGTTTATACTCGTAGACTAAAATTCCGAGTTTTTCATGTTCATCATCATCATGATCATCATTATCATCATCATTATCATCATCATATTCTCCATTATATTCACCATCATCTTCATCATCACCACTGCCACAATCACCATCATCACCATAATCATTTCATCATCATGATCATCATCATCACCACCACTGCCAACACTATCACCATCATTATCATCCTTACCACCATCACCATCACCACCATCGTCATCATCATATTCATCTGCA